AGCGCGAGCGCAAGCCCTTTCCACAAACAAAAATCAAAACCCTCGTTGCGAAGCCACGTTTGTTTTGTACGTTTGTTTGTTGCATTCGTTTTTGAAATCCCCATGTGGCGCGGTGTTTTCGAAGGGTTTCAGCGCGCGCGCGACGGCGCGCACGCGTGCATTTCGTACGTTGTTTTCTTGTTGCAAGGATGGCGGGCGCGCGCTTTTTGGCAAGGGATGGCAGGGGGGCGGGTGCCAGCGCCCCCGGGGCGGCGCGAACTCGTAGTTCGGATGGGCGACGGGGCGGGAAAAACGCGCCTGCAATGAGGAAATGGAAGCCGTTTGGTCCCGGAGGGGCAGGGGACTTATTCTTTTTCAGGATGGAGATTGTATGCGGCGCCCTCTGTTGATTTGCGCCCCTAAGAGGTGCGATCTACGATGTGCAATGTATGTGATGCAATCTAGGTAGTGCAATTCACTCTGTCGAATTTGAAGTCGGCCGCTGCTCGCGCAATCATCTCATCCGCCCGCTCGCGCATTGGCTTGCAGAACCCGCGCGGCGGCGATTGCGATGGCAGCTCGGCGCTTGCTGGCGCGTCGCCGAGGCCGCGCCAGCTCGCGCGCTCGCGCGCGCAGCTGCCGGCCAGCATGTTGCGACCGACGCGGCCGCGGCGGCGCTGACTGCCGGGCACTTCCCAGCGGGCGCATCAGTGCGAGTCGGCATTCTGGGCGGGCGCGGCATCGTGGCCACGTCGATGGCGGTTGACGCGGCGACGATGCTAGCGGCGTGGGCGACGACGAGCACGGTGGCGACGGCGCGGCCAGTAGCGGCGCCGATGCTTGATCGCGCCAGCGGCGACGACGGCGTCTTCGCGCCGGCGATGGAAAGTTCGGGGAGGGAGGAATTCGGCATGCGCGCGCGGACGACGCGCGAGAGTGGCCCGCGCGGCATAATTTGACGCGGATCGCGCCCCCCCCCCCCCCCAGCACGCGCGCAAAGGCGCTCGCGCGATTTCGACGCGCGGCGCGGAGCCCCGCTTGGCAGACGTTCGTAAAACGATTGCCAACGCAGGGTCATTTGAGGAATTCGCGAAGCCGCGAGCGCGGGTTTTTTTGGCCGGTAGAAAATGGCACATGAGAACCCATAGTTTTTAAGCAAGCGAGCGCGCGCGCGCAGTTTTTGGGCAGAGGATGAGGGGCGGGGCGGCGCCGGCTTGGCCGGGGCGATTTGAGCCCCTATAGGGCGGGCGATGGAGCAGAAACAATTGCAATTTGCAATGCGAAAAGGAGCGCCGTCAAGTCTGGGAAGGGGGGGGTCCGCGCGCGGTCCCTATCGTTCTTCGCGAAAGGAGAGTCTAAGTACGTGCAGCTTTCGATGCGGCGCAATCGTTGTTGCCCAAGCCATGGTGTGCGATCTGTGTTTTGCCGGCTACGTCGCGGGATCTATGCCGCGCGTGCGTTTATATGTGGGCAGTTAGTTGTCAGCCCCGCTGCTCTCGCAATCGTCTCGCCCGCCCGCCCGCGGCTGGGTCTGCGCCCGCCCGTGCGGCATCGATTGCGACCGGCGTCTGGTGGCGGCTGGCGCATCTCTGCGGCCGCGATGGCGAGCGCGTTCTCGCGCGCGAAGCGGCGGGCTAGTTTGGCGCGACAGTCGCGGCCGCGGCGGCGCTGGCCGCCCAGCGCTTCTTAACGGGCACCCAGCTCGAGTCGGCGACCTGGGCGGGCGCGGCGTCGCGGCAACGGCGGCGGCGGGCGCGAGGGCGACGGCGGCGACGCCGGCGGCGATCATGACAACGACGACGGCGCGGCCAGCGACGTCGCCGTTGCCGATCACGCCGACGGCGATGGCAGCGTCGTCGCATCGGCGACGCAAGTATTAGAAGGCAGTCGAGATGCGCGCGCGAGGGCGCCCGAATGATTTCGACGCGCGGGGAGAGTGGCCCGATTCATCGAATGGAGGTTTTGAAAATCGCAGAAATCGCAGGTCGTTCTCAAGGACTCGAGCGCAGTTTGGGCTCGAAAACTGGCGCTGCAAAGCAATTTGTTTTTTATGTGTTGTCGGGGCACTCGATCCCGGAATCCGCGAGGACCTTCAAGTTCCAGAAAGTTTTCGGCGCGCGCGACGACGCGCGCGAGTGCGCCTCGCCGCGTTTTTCGCTTGGGATTATTGCGGCAGCGCGCGATGGGGCGGTCGATATCTCGACGCGCGCGCGAGAGAGGCCTTCTGGCGTAAGTTTATCAACGCGCAGAAACACCCGTGGGTTCCCGTTGAATTCGCATGGGCGCGGGCGCGAGTTCTCTGCGCATTCCCGTTGCGAAGCCATATGCTTGCTAGCGTGTTTTCGGGGCGCGCGATATCGAAATCCGCGCGCAACCAACGGTTCTTCGAGGTTTTAGGCGCGCGAGCGCGTGCACTTCGCCCATTTCTGTTGCTCGGGGTTCTGGACAATTTCTGATTTTTGATCGGAGTGCGCGCGTGTTGTTGTTGTTGTTGCTGTTTTTTTTTTGCAGGGGGTGATGGGGGGGGGTGGGGGGGCGGGCGCTGCCCTGCCTGGGAGAGAACGAACCCAGGTTTAGGATGGACGATGGGGCGGGATCGCACGTAAATAACACCGCGAAGAAGGGCGCGGGGAGAGGGGGGGAGAGCGGGGGGGGGATAGATCATATTCTCGTAGAAGGTAGTTCACCCTGCAGAAGATGAAGTCGCCAATTCCATTGCGCCATCATCCCACCAGCGCGCCCGCAATGTGGTTTTTCAAAAGCCCATGCGGCAGCGATTGCGATGGCTGCTCTGCGCTGGTTAGCGCGTCGCCACGGCCGCGCTAGCGCGCGCGCGCGCTGCGCTGACCGCTGGGCACTTCCAGCGGGCGCTCCACTGCGAGTCGGCAGCTTGGGCTTGCACGGCATCATGGCAACGTCGACAACGGTAGACGCGGCGATGGTTGTGGCGATGCTGGCGATGAAGGTGACGACGACGACGACGGCAAGGCCAATGACGGCGCCGATGCTGATCGCGCTGGCGGCGGTGGCGGTGTCCTCGCGTCGGTGATGAAAGGTTATGGATGGATACCAACATGCGCGCGCGGCCGACGCGCGAGAGCGGTCCGCGCGACATCGGTTAACGCGGATCGCGCGCAAGGGCGTTCGAATGATCTCGACGTGTGGCGCGAACAGGCTTTCTCGTCAGAAATTAATGAATATGTTGGAAACTCGTGGTTGTTTTGAGACTCCGTAAGGGTGCGGGCGCCGGCAATTTGCAAAACTGATGTTGCCGAGCCATACATTTTCCCAGGCGCACTCGAAACTTCGTTTTTTGAAGGATGGTGGCGCGCGCGCGCGCGACGGCGCGACGACGCGCGCGCGCATGCCGCCCCGTTTTTTGAAAGGGGGTTTTGGTGACGGCGCGCGCACAAGGGCGTTCGGGCGATATCGACATGTTCACGCGAAAGGCGCGTTTGATGGTTTTTGATGGTGCGTCGTGCGTCGCGCAATTCACGTGCATCGATATGTGTTATGATTTCCATGTGGTGCAAATGTTGGTTTGCTTTCCATGTGGCGCGCTCTGCGAGGTGCAATTCACGTTGTGCACGCTACGTGATGCATTCAATGTTGTGCAACCTATGTGGTGCAATCTTCGCTGTGCTATATAGATGGTGTATTCGATGTTGTTCACTACGTGTTGTGAACGATCAAGAAGCGCACCGCGGGCGCGATGTTTCCCGTGCGTTCTACGTTGCGCAGTCCAACGGCGGCGACGGGCGGCGACGAGGCGGCGACTTGGCGGCGACGGCCGGCACGGAGCCGCCAGACCGCCAACACGGCTCAGGCCACAAGCGGCGACGAGGCGGTGACAGGGCGGCGACGGCCGGCATGGTGCCGTTCGACCGCCTACACGACCCAATTATTTTGCACACGTGCTATTGCATTCAAGCGCAAGCACATCTAGGAAACAATAAATCTATGTAGTTATACTTATACACATATCAACACATATTGACCATCACATATGTATGTTTGCATGTCTGTGCGTATGTATGTGTGCGTGTATGTATATATGTGTTCATAGGTATGTGTATGTGTAAATGTATAGATATAGCCATGCAAGTGTATGATTACGTATGTGTATGAGTATGCGTATGTGGATATGGATATGTGTATGCATATGTGTGGTTGTAGACATATACGCATATGCGCCGTACATGTATTTACATATATGTATGTTATGTGTATGCATATGTAGTCTCACTTGTAGATGTGTACATACGTATTTATGTATGCATGTATGCATGTGTTCATGCATGCCTGCATGTACGTATGTATGTATGTGTGCATGTATGGATTGATCTATGCATGTGTGTATAGCTGTATACATGAATATATTGGTTTGCGATATACACATAGTTATAGACATCAGTATACATTAATCTACGTATATATACACACCCATGCAAACATGTATACATATACGTATACTTACACGCGGGTCCCAAGTGGAACAGCCAGCTGGTCGCACCCTGGCGGGCCCAGGCGTTGCGTGCCGCTGTCAACGCGTGCCTGGGGACGCGCCGTCTTGCTGCCGCCCTCGTCTAGTAACACGCCCGCTTGGGGTCATGGCGCCTCCTTGGACTCGCCATGGAGAGAAGATGAGGGAAACGTGTCCCGGGTTTTTGCGCCGTTCCCGGGCTCTCGGGACCCTCCCCAAGTCTTGGGAATGTCAAACAAATATTCAGGATGAAGATTCGGTTCAGGGAAAGGCCCCAGAGTCCAGGATCCGGCTCCTTCTTGCCAGCTGAACCGCTTAGGCCCAGACCGATCCGTTCGCCGTGCGGCTTCCGTTCCCTTGCCTCCGCGTTCTTCTAGTGCTCCCCCTTCTGCACTTTGAGGCGCAATCGGATGCGTGTTTCCGCTATTTAGCTGTGTCACCCCCGAGCGTTCTTTCCTGTCAGCCGTTGCGTGGTTTCGGCCCGCTGGCGAGCAAAAAATCTCAGACTGTGGGGTGGGTGTGGGGTTGCGTGGGGTGGGGGTGCGTCGTGAGTTGAATCCAGCCATCTAACCAGCGTGACCAAACTCCGAGTGCCTGCCTCGTCGCCGAGCGCCTCGCGCTCGGGCATCTTGACGCTCAGCAGAGAGCTGCGAGGAAAAGTGTCCTCGATGGTGGCCTTAGCATAGGGGGCTGTCTTTGGGCCTGGCCAAACAAGTGTTTCCAGCCGCGCAGTTGTTCACAGGACACAGCCCTCGCCCGCTGTGGCTCGAGATGTGTGCCCGAGAGCGAGGGGCTTTGCCGCGTGCCGTTCACGCGTGGCTGGCGATCCAGATTATAGCTCCGCGAGCTCACATCGAAGAACAGAAAAAAAGGCATACACATAGTTTCTCGGAGGTCAGCGTGGATCTTTTGGATCGGCGCTTGGCGGCGCCGGAGGCTCCGCCAGGGGCTCCTCCCCTATCAACACCTGTGGGTCCGCCCCTGGCGAGCTTCACGCGCTAGTGAGCGGCGTCCAGCGCCAATCCAAGAAATCCGCGCGGATCTCCGAGACATTATGATTATGCAGCTTTTGTTCTAGTTCCGCGAGCTCAGAGTGTCCAGAAATTGCGGTCCGAATGAACCCCCTCGCCTCCTTGACAGTGTTTGCTCGCAGGCAGTCGGCAGACTCCGGTGCTGACTCCGATGCGTACGATGCGCCTCTTGTGGAGAAGCGCGCCGAGTCACAGTCTGGCGGGCCATACGTGCTTGGATGCTTGCCGTTTTTCGTGGTGGACATCTTGAAGATGAAGGACGCAGAGAAGAATTGTCCGCGTTCACATTGCATCGGTCCCGTCATCAAGCTAGCAATGTGGTGCCCGCTCGTGCACTCATTTGTGATGTTCTGTTTCATGGGGGTGGGTCTCCTGCACATGTCGTGCCAGAACAAGAACGGGGGACCACTTAGCAAGCCCAAGATTTCGTATCCACCATGGTGGTTCTTGCCGGCCGGGGCCAGCTGCATCGCCCTGATGTTGTTCGAGGTGTACATCGCGAAGTATTCGAGCATCTCGTACACCGACAAAGCCAGCAAGCAGTTTGCAAAAAAACACGAGAACGAGAAGCGCCCAATAGGGCTTAGCCACTGCCCAGATTGCCGCATCCAAAAGGAATCGACGCCAGGAGGCCCGTTGTCTGATCCCGAGGCCGAAGGTGTACTTGAGTGCCGCCACTGCGGGAAAGCGTTAAAGCAGGGCCGTCTCCCAGTAGGATGGCCATGCATGCCCGTCACTGTGATCGACGCCTTGCTGTCCCGCTGCTGCTTCTCTGGAGTCTCAAATGAGAAACATATTCCCATACTGCTGCTCGACCAGGAGAGCCATCGTAACACCGACTGGATTCGGCTCGAAATTCTGGTCAGAACGCACCCTGGGGGAGGTCCGCCAAGTAGCAGTATCGGTATCTTCTCGTTTCTCCAGGAGTCCGCGCCAGGTGGCACGAAGAGCAGGAGAAGTTGTACTTCAACGTGTGGTTCCTCTGGCTCTTCGTACTGGGGACGATAACCGTGTACGGGCGGCTCCAGGCGAACACCTTCCTGGGGATGGTCCTCTACGGCTTCCTGACTGGCAACCCCGCCGAGGCCACGGACCACATCTGGAAAGAGACGTCGACATTCCACATTTCGCTCGAGGTTCTCGGGCGAGTAAGGGACAATTGCAACCGGTAGGTTGAGGGAACTGTCACTGGCGCCTCCCATGGCCGACCTCGCGCCCCCAGCGCTGATGGCGCGGCATTCGAAAACAGGCGCCGCGTGCATGTCATCAGCGCTGGGGTCGGGATCGTCGTTCGGAGGGCGCCAGGGCTTGGGTGGCGCCAGGGGTTGCAGAAAAACATGTACAAGCACAAACTTCTGGAGAAGCGGCTCCGTTCAACTCGGCCCGCTTCTCCACAAGAGGCGCATCGTACGCATCGGAGTCAGCACTAGAGTCTGCCGACTGCCTGCGAGCAAAAACTGTCAAGGAGGCGAAGGTGTCCATTCGGACCGCAATTTCTGGACACTGAGCCCGCAGAACTAGAACAACAACAAATTACATCAACACACGGTCGGAATGAGGTATAGGATCGAGGTAGGTTAGAGCACAGTGTTGCCCCGCCTCCCTCTCCTGCCCCTTCTCCTCCTCCTCCTCCTCCTCCTCCTCCTCCTCCTCCTCGGTCGGTCGGTCGGTCGGTCGGTCGGTCGGTCGTGGCGCAAGAGAGGTCGAAGTGCATGGATAGAGAGCAGAGAGAGAGCCCAATGAGTGAAGAACAATGGGGGCAACAGCAGGGGCAGGAACGCAGGGGACCTGCCAGCTAGAGAGCTGGGTACGATCGCTAAAGTGGATGGGCACTAAGGGTTGGAAAATGGAATGAGAGCCGAGGATAGAAAAATAATGAAGATCTTACACAGGCTAGAACTGTTACTCCCCTGACGGGGACAGCCAGACCCTATGTGGCCCCCTGGCATCACACAGAGGATACTGACTAAGGTTGGCGCTACCGCGAGGATCTGATGTGATCCTGGCATCTCCTTCCCCCCTGTGCCCTTCACGATTCATCACCTAATGCCTCAAGCTCTGCAACTCCAGGCGAAGAAAGAGAAAGAGAAGAGGAGTGCTCACCGTTGTGGTTAGCTGTGCGATGCCCGTTCCTGATATGGAGCATACATTCCATAGAAATTCCCGTCGCAAGGTGTGGATCCCAGGGGGAAGCAAATCGTCGCAATCCATACGGCAGGTCCTAGCCGTCGTCCGTCGGGGCAAGTTGGAGAAGCCTTCCGAGAGATCACTCATCACTTCTGCACCAAAGGGGGCGAGGGCGAACCAAATCCTCAAAGGAAACACGCGGCGGAGGGCAATCCACGCTTGGCCAGCAATAACTCCCCCAGCGACCCCAGATGGACCCCAAGGAGCCCCGTGGGCTTCAGATGAGGAGAGCCAAACACGCACTGGTCAATCCGATGAAGGCAAACATTGGGGAGGGCCTTTAAGCGGACCAACTCTGGCAGGTCCCAAGAAGAGGGGGCCTCAGGCACACGAGGGTGCTTGGCAGGGTGCTTCATGAGAGCTGGTACGCAATTTATCCACGCCTCATACAACATCCGAATGGTGGTTCTGAGCAGCCTATTGCCGACGGCGGGTTGTGCCGCCTCCCGCTCTCTGAGATGACTTGGTCCCCAGATCGAGCCGGGAGTCCTCATGGGCTTAGGAGGACGGGCCCCGCCAGGGGCCTCAGGGGGCACAGGGAGAAATCTGGCCGACGACCACGTCTCGCACGGCGGACCCGCAACCGCAGCAGCAACCCGTCCCGAGCGGAGAAGGAGGACTCACAAGAGAACAGTTTCATCATTGGTCAAATCTCCATGGACAGCGTGTTTCTCGCCACGTCGGTACTGAGAACGGTGAGATGTGTTGGAAACTGCTGCAGCGAGCAAGACTTCCATATGCCACTGCAGGTCCCCTTGTCTCCTATGTCCTGAGAAGAGATGAAGGACGCGTATGGAAGAGCGGATGGGTAGGGGGCGAGGGGAGAAGGTAGGAAGCACAGGGGCAGGAGCGGGAGGGGTCGGCACAATGTCCAACATGGCGCGAACCTGACTCCTGGCGACCTTGATCTAAGGTCCAACTGGGGGGCCATACCATTGGATGGGCGGGCGTTCAGCAAAATGGTCTGGCCCACCCTTCGCTCGGTTCTCAGATGTGATGGCTCTGCATTGGCCCCTCGCCTCCATCACCTCCTCTTCCCTCGGTCGCATGCGGGAATGTGCCCAAGTGAAGCGGCAGGAGGGGGAATTGCGAACATGCTGGGCTAGGCGAGGTTGGACATGGAAGTCCTTTAAACACACATGAGAAATCGAGCCAGCTGCCAGCGTCGTTGGAGCATCATTGCGCTTGTGTGCCTTACTCATGTGGGCCCGAAACTGCTGTCCACTGGGACAAATAAATGGGCACTGTTCACACTGAAAAAAGGGGAGTACGGGGGCAGAGACCTGCAGGGGGGTGTCACACGCACACTTATTAAGCTCCCTTCTCCATGCTTCACAATGATGTGTGTCAAGAGCTGCCCTCTTGGCCCTGACAGTTGCTGACGCCACAAGTGCCTTGAACGCTCTAGGATGGTCGCACACAAGTGAAATATCCCCTTTACCGAAACGTCCTCGGGCCTCTTGTCGGGTTCCGTATGATAGCATAGCCGAGCAACATCCCAGACCAGCTAGGTAGCCAAACAAAGCGCGTATTCCAAAGTAATTCCATAGAGCCCGAACCAAAGGGGGGGGGGCTAAACACATCAAGCGTAGCATATAGCGGAGGCGGGCCACAGTCATGACTACCGCACAGGTGAGCCTCTCGGCCTGGAGCATAATTTGCGCCGAGCTGACATGCTGCTCAGAATTGATGGTGGACAAGAGGTTGAGCGCCGTGCGACGCACCGCCATATGTGCAATGACCATCTTTTTCTCCTGAGCACTGGTGATCCCGAGCCAAGCATCCACCGCGTAGTATGACCGAGGAGCTCAGGGCCTTCGCAAAGGCAATTGTGGCCCCGAGGGACAGATGAGGCCGAGGGGCCATTGTGGCTTCGATGGGCCTGAGGGCCCCCCCAAGCCTTGGCGACGCGGGCGTTGACTTCAAGGACAAGGGAACCAGGCGAGGTAACCTGAGCCCCGAGAATCTTATGAGTGAAAATCGCTAGCCGAACTTGAAGTTGTCAACTCCACTGCTCACGCAATCATCCCACCCACCCACCCGCAACTTGGTTTGCAAAGCCCATGCGGGAACGAACGCGATGAGTGCTGAGTGTTGGCTGGTACATATTTGCGGCCGCGCGAGCCCGCAACGCCTGCGACGACACCGACGACGTCTCCAACGACTTCGACGACGCCGACAACGACGACGACGACGATGACGACACCGACGACGACGACGACGACGACGACGCCAACGCCGACGACGACGACGATGACAACGACGACGATGACGACGCCGACGACGACGACAACGACGACACCGACGACGACGACGACGACGACGACGTCAACGACGCCGACGACGACGACGACGACGGCGGCGACGACGACGACGCCGACGTCGACGACGACGAAGACGACGACGACGCCGACGCGGACGACGACGAAGAAGACGAAGACGACGACGACGTCGCCAACGAAGACGACGACGAGGGAGGAGGGAGGACGACGACGCCGACAACGACGACAACGTCGAGGGAGGAGGGAGGACGGCGTCGACGCGAACGACGAAGAAAGAGTAAGGACGGCGACGCCGACGACGACAACGACGAGGGAGGAGGGAAGACGACGACGAGACAACGACGACGACGACGACGGCGACGAAATAGGAGGGACGACGACGAGACGCCGACGACGCACGACGACGACGACGAGGGAGGAGGAGGAACGACGACCACGGCGACAACGACGACGGAAACGACCACGACGCCAAAGAGGACGACGACGACGAACACGAGGAAAGACAGAGGACGACGTAGGCGACGACGCCGACGACGACGCGGGAGGAGGGAGGACGGCGACGACGACGACGACGACGACGACGACGACGACGCAAGAGCGTGCGCGCTCGCTTTTGTTGAAAATCCGTGTTGCGAAGCCTTGTTTTTTGTAGGTTTTTTGGACACGCGATTTTGAACTCCTTCCGAAACCGAAGGGTTTTGGAGGATTTCGGCATACTCGCGCGACGACGCGCGCGTCTGCACTTCGTTTTTTTTTGCAAAGACTTCTCGCGACGGCACACGCGCATAGGCGTTCGACAAATTTCGACATGCGCGCGCGAAGCCCGTTTAGAAGCATGTTGTGAAAATCTTGAAAACAACATGTGGTTTTCTTAAGCTTTCGCAACAGCTTGCGCGTAAGCTTTTTTAGCAAATCACTGTTGCGAAAACATGTGTTTTTCTTATGCTTTTTATACTCGATTGCAGAAAACCCTTCCGACACCCAAGGCTTTTGAAGGATTTCGGCATGCGCGCGCGACGACGCGCACGTGCTCAGTGCGTCTCGTTTTTGGCAAGGGAATCGCGAACAAATCTTATGTTAGAACACATGATTTCCCCGCGTATCGTTTTTTTGTACAAGGGAACCTCAGGGGGCCGATGCCGGTTCCCCTGGGATGGTGTACATTCATATATATATATATATATATATAGGATGGACATGTGGTCATAATCATATATGATTTACCCGAAAGGGGGGCGGATAACGCCGGGGGGTGGTAAAGTCTGTTCTGTGTTTAGAAATGAGAAGCAGTGGGAAACTTGAAGCCCCATTGAGCAGAGGAGACGCTATAACCCGAACGATCAGCAAGCCCAGGAACCCTGCAGGAGCCCGCACCTATGATGGTAACGAGAACCTTCGATTTGGCGATGTTAAGGCGCAAGCCTAGGGACGACGAGGCAACGCATACTGATCCGGAAAGAGCGAGAGCGACGGCAGGGAGCCGACGCGGGTGCTTAACCAAGGCAAGTATAATGAAGTCAGCAAAAAAGGAAAGATCACATTGAGCATCCATCCGATCCTGGCCCACTGCACAATGCAGCGCAGGTCGAGAAAACACGCCCCTAACTCCGCAGCCAGGCGGTTTGATCCTGGATCTGAGTTCCCGAAGGACCGCGGCAAAAAAACAA